CTTCCCTCCATTTGAATGGTGATCATTCCTAGTGCACAGCACCTCTTCTGAGCCATTTACAAACAGCAGGGAATACATGTTGCTTTGCAACCACCATGGGCAAAGCCTCATTTATCCCCATTTTACAGAACAGGGACTGAGACTCACGCCCCAGGCCACCCAGTGAGTCAGTGGGGGAGCTGGGATTGGCCTGGAGGCGCTGGGGAATGCCAATTTGAATGGTGTTCTGGTTCATGCTGACTCCCCTTCAGGCCTTTCCTACTTCTATCAATCCATTTATTTACAGTGGCGGGCTCTCCCTCTCCCAGCAAGGGGCCCAATGCCTCGTCCTGGCTTTGGGACTGTTTCCATGGTAACACAAAACACTGGAAGAACTCTGAGCTGGGATATAACCCTAAATGCAACACTTTCTGCTGCAAACTGTCCCCATAGCGATGGTTGCCAGGCAAACAGTGAGGTATTTATATTTTGGTCCCTTGGGGCCTTTTAGTGGCGTCATCTCCACACAGCCTCTGCTGTGTATTCATGGCTATAGACCTAAGTGTGTAGCTGACAAGGTTGCCTTATATGGCTGAGAGTGTGCGTGTGTGTGGGGGGCTGGATTGGTGTGTCTTGGAAAATAAGGTGCAAACTCTCATGTTATGGCTAAACTCTCTCATCCTCAGCTTTAGCTGGGAAGAGGGGGGCAGAGCTGATGGAGGCATCAAATCTGCCCAGAATCCTCTCAGGGGAGTCCCAGGCCTCACTGGTGGGTAGCATGTTTACAACATAGGGCCAGCATGGGTTAGACCCAGGTCTGTTCTGATACCACAGAGCTACGTAGCTTATGATATTATCCAGAAACAAAGGATCTGGTTGGTTGATGGTTACAGTTGCTAAGCGCAATTTAAGAGAAGAGGGGTAATTGAAGTCATTCACAGAACAATCCCCACCTCAAACTAAGCTAAGGAAATCACCAGCTAAAGGTACCTCAACAACTCTGACATCAGCCTCAACATTAACACCCAGTTCACCCCTCCCCATAAAGCAGACCCATTCCCAACGACTAGCACTCCAACCACCTCTGTGTTACTGTTTCAGAGATGACCCCACTTTCACTGATCTCAATGGTTTCCTTCCAGATGCAAAGATGTAAATACCACTGAGCCACCACTTGAGGGGAGTATTTATTTGTTTATGGTGAAACACACGACTCGCAGACATAGCACCTTGTG